CTGCCTATGGCCAGATTTCCACCAGCTTGAATTCCGCAAAAGGCCTCGAGTATTATGCAAAGATCCCAGCTGCTTGTCAAAGCAAAATAATAAAATTAATTGTTTCCAGTTTGTAACTGACCTAGGGACAAAAACTATACAGGAAGGTTCAAATCTTGGTGTTTCAATCTGATGGCACCTTTCCCTAGCCTTGCCGCCTCCCCTCTCCAAAAAGAAAAAAGGTGGTGGGAAGAATTGGGTTCAAGTATTTTGTTTCATTCCTTCTTCTGCGTTTTCCTTTCTTTAAACAGGACATTATTCAGAAACCATTTATGTGGGTTGAGGCTTTCAGACATTCCTTTTCTGGCCTGCAAAGATTTTAGCTAATTATTTGTGAAAGAAGCTTTTCTGCTTCACTTCTTTCAAACTAGTTCTTTTGCAGCAAGGAAGTTTCAAAAAAAGAAAGAAAAAGGAGAGAACAAACACAGTTTCCAATTTTGCTCCAATTTGCCAGCAATCTTCACTATTTGTATAAGAGTCCAGAGAAAGCAACAATACTTCCAAAAAGGCTTTCAAAAAACAGCTATAAGGGAGAATGAGATAATTGGGCAGCCTGCTTTCTGGAGCATGGTGTGTGGGAAAATCATTAAAGTCAGTCAAATGGAGACCAGGTAACATTAAAACCACCACCAAAAAGAATCAAAGTGATCCCCTTGTGGTTTCATTGGAAAGTTTGCCACAGTTAATCCTATTTAAAGTCCTATTTTGCTATATAAATAAAAAGGGATAATTTTGTCTGCTGGGTAAATGAGACATAGGGGACATCTACACCAAGACCCTGGGGTACTGTTGAGCCCAAATCCACCAGTCACCCACCCTGTAGTAATCGACCCTCACCAATACCGTCACCTCAGTTTGCACTGTTGAGCAGTGGCACGCAAGGGCAGGTTGGACTCATAGCGCATTCCCTCCCTAGTGTAGGTGGAACAGATCCATCAGCTGAATGTCAGGCTTCCCTCACTTGCACCAGTCTCACAATTCCTTGCTATGTATTACAGCTCTTCTCCACCACTTCTCTACTCTTTATTGTTATGAAGCTAGAGTCTAGTCTTTGACCCCCTGTGCTGGTTAACACCTCGTAGTCCATCAGGTCCACCCAAAACCAGTGTTTATTGACCTATATCGGGGTCCCAGAGCCACATGTGGCTCTTCAGAAGTGAATATGCATCTCCTTGAATCTTTGCACAAGCACATGATGACCAGCTTCCATAGCCATTGCATCACGTTGCATGCTTATGCCTCTTGGATAACGGGGGACCACGGTTGATATAGGTCGGGGGTGGCCAACCTGCAGCCCTGGAGCCACATGTGGCTCTTCAGAAGTGAATATGTCTCCTTGAATCTTTGCATAAGCACGCAACGTGACGCAATGGCTATGGAAGCTGGTCATCATGTGCTTGTGCAAAGATTCAAGGAGATGCATATTCACTTCTGAAGAGCCACATGTGGCTCCGGGACTGCAGGGTGGCCACCCCCGACCTATATCAACCGTGGTCCCCCGTTATCCAAGAGGCATATCTGTAATGGCTTGGATCTGGAAATAATATGCCCGATTCCAGGACTTCAGCAAAAAACACAAAGAACATCCACCGCTATGACACCATCTCCTAGCCACTAACCGCTCTCTGCATGTGGCTCACCAGGCTACATTTGCAGGAGTGTTGCAAGTGCGTGGAGCACTAATACCACCAGCCAAAAGGAGAGAAAGAAGTGCTTTGGCACCAGCCAACTGTTTCTGCTACAACACATTCAACAAAGCGCTTGGTATTGCCCCCAGTTTCCCCACGGTGTAGCCTTCCACTCTTACAAACCAAGGGA